ATGGGCTTTTTTATTTCGCTTTACGATGTTTCCGTATAGCGACGTTAATCCTGGAATGGATTAACGTCGCTATACGGGGCACCACTGTATTTTCTTCCATTCTCCCACACCCTTACATTTGATGTAATTAACCTGCGTTTTCCTATATTTGTTTTTGTCTTAGCTGGGGCACAAACATTACATTCCTACACATACCTGCTTATAAAGCACCTTTCAAATAATCTATTAAGTGATCCTTCTGTTAAATTGGTCCCAGAACCCACCATCCAATCAGAACTCTTAACTGTGAAATTCTTACCAAAGACGAGAAAACACTAGTAATAATAAAAGAGTACTATTACTTCTTTCACAAATAAAAATTGCATGTTTTAATCCTTCCTCTACACAGAAATAGTACCTTTATCCAGCCTATGTGACATCTTCCTTAATTCTTCAATTTGCCTACCTTTCCTTCTGTTTGTTTATTTACCTATCTCATATAGCTATCAATAATAAACACTTAAAATTTAAAATGTTATTTGGTCTTCTCCTTTGATCTTCTGTATGCTAAATCAATATTGGCAACGTACTAATATTGATTTGGCATACAGGAGCAGAAAGGTCACACAGAAGGTGCTCACAGGAAGAGCTGTATCATGGCTCATGCTTGCTTTTCCTGCATGATAGTTGGAGGCAGTTCTGAATTTACTAAAGGAATGTATATGATCAAAAACCCTTCATGGATTGCTGCCTTGTTGTGGCAAAGGAGTTTGAGTAATTCAGAGAAGCTAATGGTTATGCCCTGCAGGGACACCCAAGACGTACAGGTCATAGTGGAGAGTTCTGACTAAACGCGATCCACCAGAAGCAGAGACATCATCACCTTGTCAACAAAGGTCAGCATAGTCAAAGCTTCAGGATCTGTCCTTCCAGTGAGCACTCAGGGTTGATTTCCTTTAGAATGGATAGGTTTATTCTCCTTGCAGTCCAGGGGACTCTCAAGAGTCTCCTCCAGCACCACAATTCAAAAGCATCAATTCTCGTGGTCAGCCTTCTTTATGGTGCATCTCTCACTTCCATACAACACTACTGGAAAAACCATAGCTTTGACTATATGGACTTCTGTTGGCAAGGTGATGTCTCTGCTTTTTAAGATGCTGTCTAGGTTTGTCATCACTTTCCTCCCAAGAAGCAGACGTGTTTTAATTTCGTGGCTGCTGTCACCAGCTGCAGTGATCATGGGGCCCAAGCAAGTAAAATCTGTCACTGCCTCCATGTCTTCTATTTGCCATGAGGGGATGGGACCAGTGGCCATGATCGTAGTTTTTTGTTTTTTCTTTTTTGATGCAAGCAGAAACAGATATTGTTTCATTATGTTTGGATGACTTGTCAGGTCATAAACATTCCTAGCGTTTTATGCAGATGTGATATGAGAGTTCTACAGGAAGCCTTGATAGGGGAAGACTTTGTTCCTGATGCTGCTCTATAATTTATAGTAAAAATATGCCAATTCACAGAGCTATACTCCAAAAACACAAATATGCAGATCTGTCTCCTGGAGGAGAGTTTGAGTGTACCCTAGACTGTGAGAAAGATGAATAAGTGGGTCCTAGATAGAGATTGGGGTATTCGTATATGAATTTCCATGCACAGGTGGAAATAACAAGGGTCCACTCACTATTTCGACAATGCCATCGGCTCCGTGGAGGTTTCCTATCGCACCGTTGTCCGCAGTGAGTTACCCAGTCCTGGCAGGAGGCAGGATGACAAGCCTCTCTGCTAGGTCGGAGTGGCTAATCCGTGGCAGAGAACAGCGCAATAGGAAGCCTCCACGGAGCCAGCAGCAGCAGCAAGATCGTGAGTGGACAGTCTTTATTTCCACCTGTGCGGGGATATTTGTATTCGTAAACAAATACCCCCATCTCTAGTTCTAGATCAAAGCAAGCCTGAACTATCTCTGAGGGCAAAAATGTTGAAACTGAGGGTTCCCCTACTTTAGGCACATCATGAGAAGGCAGGTTTCTCTGGAAAAGACTATAATGCTGGGAAAGATAGAAGGCAGCAGGAAAAGAGGAAGATAAAATTTGAGATGGGCTGGCTCCCTAAAGGAAGTCACAGGCTTGAGTCTGCAGATGCTGATCAGGGCTGTTGAGGACAGGACATTTTGGAGATCACTCATTCATAAGGTTGCCATAAGTTGGAAGTGATCTGATAGCACATAACAACAATAATTCTCTGATAACTATTTTTCATTGAAAAAAAATATGCTGGCTTGTTTTGAAATGCCACCCTATTCTGAAAGATGCTCTGCTTGTACTCTGAAGCATAATGCTTTGGATAGCAGATACAAACTATTCAAGTGGCAAAAAGATTGAGCTGACAGGCAAGAAGCACCTGGTTGAGATTGCATCTCTGCTACAGTGCTTCTAAGATCATGAAAAGAGTTCTCAGACTGTTGCCATTTTATGACAAGGAAGCAGAGTCTGAAGGAGGCCCGGCAGAGGCTCTTGCAGCTGGACTGCTTGGCACCCAGATGTTGCTTCAGGCTCAAGCCCACACACATGGTGGCTTGTAAGTAATTCCTGTTTCCACAAAAATACCCTTCATTTTTATCCCACAGTACTGGTGCTCCAGTATCTTACTAAACATTCCTCCCCACAGCAGTCTGGCACTACAAAAATAAAACATCAAGATTTCCTTCCTTCCTGTGTTCAATATTACACATACTGTACTTTTAATACAGTTTGATCCTTAGAGAGCA